GACGCTTGTATATATACTATATATAGATATATGTTCATAAACACTGACCTTGCCAGAGGAAGTGTAATTATTATCGCTGATTGCACCAGCGTGGCGCATCGCGATGGCGCGACCTTTCCACCAGAATTCCACGTTCTCCATTCTCAGAGATTGCATCTCTGTATCCGCGTCGCGTTATTTTCCGTCCTCTTTTTTTTTCCGTCCCTCTCCCTCTCTTCTTTTGTCACGTTATCGCGTCGACGATTGCGCCTGTCACCCACGTGCGTTTTTCCGGTGAGGTTCGCATATTTTTTTTATTTTTTTATTTTTTTTATTTTTTTTTACTCCGCCGGTGGCTATTGTTAGATTCCGCATTATCGATATATAATCGCGTTTTAAGTGTGATTATATATGTGACAAGACACGGGGGAATTAAGTTAACATCTCTCTCGGTGTGTATATATGTGATTAAAATTTTACGCGATAATGATTGCAAAGTCGGTCTTTAAATAACGCTTTTTCTTCTTCGCCAGCACGCGCGTGCGTATCTTGCCTACTTGAGATATCAAATCAGATGAATATCGTACACATCATATAAATGATGTTTTTTTCTTCAAGTAGCTGTAATTTTGCGCTATAGTACAGGCTGTCTACTCTTTGGAAAATACGGGAAAACCGGAAATTATCAAGGATTTTTTTATCTTGAAAGATCCGAGAGTTCTTATGGAATTTTACTGAGCTGCGGGAAATTTTTTTTAAAAGTTGTATCTTTGATAATTTTACTCTTATATTGCGGAAAGCTGATCAGCTGATCAGAAAAATTTAAGATATTAAGATTTATTTTGCATTTTTTCCTTTTAAATATTTTATAAATGTAATCGAGCTATTATTTTGTTTTTTTAGAAATAGAAAAAATGTATTTATTATTAAACTATAAAGATCAGAGGTGTTCCAAGAAATTTTTTACAAGATTTAAGCAGCCACCCCGTATGTACCTTTCACCATTTCATTTTCCAAGAAGCCCCGCAAAGACCTTCTGCCCCATTCGGCACACATCCTGCAAGGACATTTCCGCTTTCCGCTTTCATTGTAACTGCAAACATCCTGCCGCGGGTTTCTTGCGCGAAGAAGCCGTTGTCTCGAGAAACATTAGACATGGCCATTAGGCCCGAATGAAGGGCCCCATCCGGAGATTCGCGGCAATCGAAAATCGAATTGATCGACGCACGTGCGGCTCCGAGATACCCGCGAATTCGCGCATCCTGCGGTCATTCTGACGGATCCGTTCTAATGGATCCTGTCACAGAGAGTCACGTGGCACGACGAGTCGCTTGCGTGCGAGTATTTACGACCCAGCTATCGCTCTGTTCTCGTATGTGTATGTATGTATATCTTCCTTGTACTGAACGCCGTTTAGTCCGAAATTTATTTACGCATTCTAGTTTGACGTTATGACAGAAAGAAAAAGAATGTGGTTACACGAAGGTTAATTATAATAAAATTCGGGAATTCCCCTTGGTTTCTCATTGCAGCATATTCTTTTTCTCGTCATTTGTGAACTTGATTGTTAATTTTGTAAATGATTAAAAAATATAGAATGCACGCATATGAAAGAGAGAAAGAAACTCTTTTGATTATTATTTTTATTTTTTATATAATTTCTCTGATATTTGACATTTAATAGAATAATTCACAAATATGATTAGATGATTATAAAATTTGATATTTTCTTCTAACAAATTTTATTGAATTTTATTTGATTCTTTGAATATATTACAATTTAATTTTTACACGAAAATGCTATGTAAATTACGTTGCATTTTTACCGTTCAAAATTATTTTTCTTTACACATGTGAATCTCTTTTCAATATCATTGCATTTATTCACCACAAGCTGTTGTGCGAGTCGATAATTTATATTATTTTCTTGACTTGTAATTTCTTGCAATTTTTTGATATCAAGAGATCTGCATGAAAATCTTTGAAATCAACTTTTGTTGCCGCTAAATATAAAATATATATATTTTACACACACACACACACAAATAAATTATTAATTTAATATAAATAAATTATCTGTTCTAAATTATTCTTCTGATCATTTGAGCACTCGTGCAGTCGCAAAGGGTTGCGTGGCTTATGTACACGTGCATCGCGTGCATCACTTTTTATGCACAGCCGTCGGCGCATCTTTCGCGCGCGCATTGATACATTTTTGATATTAAACGCTTCGCGAAAGATTATTAGATCGTGAAACGCGCATCGATCGCTCTCGCATCTCGAGGCTGTAAGATGATCTTATTACATCTGTCGAGAGGTAAAATCCTTCGCGAGATGAGACAAGTCGCTTATCAATGAGTTTCTGAAGAGGAAGATGAATAATCGAAGCTTCGATTTATATCGCGAGATTGAAAGGCAGAAACGTCTTGTTATCTGTCATCGCCTATCGAGTAACAAAAATAGGCTCAAAATTCAAGATATATTTGTGAACAAATATATCTTTATTCATTTGTGAATAAATGAATTGAATTGAATTAGATTGAACTTGTAAATGAGATATTAGTATAAGATTTATTTTCGCTTCAAGTTCAGCGCAATATTTGAATATTATGTCGATAATAAATAATTAAAGCGAGTAATTAAATGGAGCAAAATAGATAATTATAATTTTATATGCATATATTTATGTATATTTAAATAGTTACATCTAAGAAACTTAATTGAACACAGCATATTTACACACGAACAACTTCCTTGCGACCTGATTTATCCGTGACTTTCGCGTTTTATTTACACGATGTAATAAGAATGTACCGAATTTCGTTAAAACTTTTACGTTGCACGTTCCCTTTCTCTTTCATGATCCAAGAAAGACCGTCGCGTCGATGTGCCCCGAACAACTTAAGCGCAAACGCGGATTAACGATAGGTTCAGAAAATGACGGCGGCGTTACGTACGTGACAGGATGTGAACGACACTTCCTCTTAAACCCTATAATACACATCGTCGATCTGTTACAGTTCCATACACCTGCTTGCCTTCTGCTTAATATGCGCGCCGTAATTAGAATACACGAGACCAACGTCGTGTTAAATAATAAACCGGTCGCGTTAAAGTCAGTGGCGCGGCGGCGCTTCAACTCTGGGCGAAACAAAACTTTCGCTCTAGATTTACATCTCGATTCGTAATAGAATTTATCGCACACATCAGCGGAGATTAACAGAATATATAATAAATCTGTAACAAATTTATAGTTTAATAATTTATTATATAGTTGGTGCAAAAAAATTTATACAAATTCTTTAGAGATAAAAATAAATATGTATACTTTTTTAAACAAAATTCACGATCTTAGAATCACTGTCATAAAATAATTATAAATAATAATATATAAAAATATATATTATTGAGCATCGCATGGTGACTTGAATTTATCGAAATGGAATAAAGACTGCTTATCGATTTTTAAACACGACGAAGAATACTGATATGGATCATTGAATCTAGATAAAAACGTCGGGCAAATTTATATTTTTGACAGTAATTGCCTTAATTATCATTGTAGCCGAGAAACATAAATTTGCGCAACGGCAAAAAGTGTCTGTCGCCCTTTCAGTTGCCCTTCGCCGACGTCGTCTCTCGTCAGTTTAATCTTTCTGAAAAATCTGCAAACTATAACCGACCGTACAGCGTATAATATGATAAATCTGATAACAAATTCGGTGCGTTATACCGTTGACTTTAATGACTTTTAATCCGGTCGGTCAATGTAACGCATATCGGGCAACGATGAAGCATCGCAAATTTATGTGCATCGAGACCGATTATCGACCAGACGGAGCATCGAAAATACACATATTTGCCTCTTATCAAGACATTTTCTAAAGGATATAAATTTTCTCGTTGTCATTTTTTGCCGATTCTTTAATCTTCAATCGAAATTTGAAATCGTCGATGAATAATCCTTTACGTTGCCCATAAATCAATTATTGTACATTTTTCGACTATCGTATAAGTCCTTTTTGTTAACATAAGATGTTTTCAAATTGTTTCAAACTTTTATTTTTTATTAATCAACTTGGAAATGCAGATGGAAATGTCATCGCTCCCAAATGTCTCTCATCTAGATTTTATTTTTAATTTTTATGAATATCATCAATTATGAATAGTTTACATATACAACATGTATACATTACATTATATAATAAAAAATATTGTTTGGCTTATATATTTTTAAAAAAATCATTAATTGTATCGTTTTTTACAAACGACAAGAAAATTTACGTGTCCTCGTGGAATAAAGAAATAGTAAAGGTGATTATGATTTTTCGTTTTCATATTCCGTGTGTCAGGAAACAACAGATCGTCGACTTAACTCTCTAATCATTCCCGTGATTTGTGGTTGACGTGATAAAAAAGGCGGAAAAGGTAGATGCGGGGGTGAGGGTCTTATGAAGATTCGCGGACGAGTACACCACGAAGCCGCCTGATTGAAATTTAATTGCACCGTCGAAATTACCCTCTCTTTCTCGACGGTTTTTGTGATATACAACATTGTGTGTACTGGCGCGTTAATGCGGCTTTTTTTCACGATACGGGAGTGGTCATTTTTTTGCACTTTCGCCATTTCGAGACCAGACGGGACTATAAAAGAACATCAGAAATTAGCCCGATCAACGTAGGAATGATCTTACATGTAATCGTTAAAAATCATAGTATGGATATCATTTATTATTAAAATAAATAGATAGCTGTGATACGCTTCTTTATAATTATATTATTATTTATTTTTTTAATATAATTTATTTATTTTTAAAGGAAAACAGTTCAATTTAATTATATTATAAATCTCTGGAGAATAATAAAAAATGTTATGTCGAAGAAAGGAAAGTGTCGACTTTTAATATACGAGTTTACAGATCATATGCACAATCAGGAATACTTTTTTCGACAAATTGCTGACTTGCTCGAAATCACCAAACACTCATCTCTTCATAATTCGCTTTATTTTTTTGTTACAGTGGTGATGCACAAGGATAAAGAGGAGAATTCACACCACGACTCGCACTACAGGGCGAGAGAGCTCGCAGCGCTCGCTGCTTACGACCATCATCACCTCGACGGCGAAATGTTCCTACAGGTGAGTACTTGGAACGCTCATTACGTAGAACAGCCCGTATTTTACGATCTCTCATTTGGACGCACCAGAATTTTAAAAATGCATACGCGTGCGCCCGTATTTATCGTGATGCCGTGGCGTGGAGAGACACATATACACCTGCTTCCTCCTCGCTCTTTTCGATCGATCGTCTCAATTCACCGACCATGGAGAAATCCATCTCTCGCAGCTGATCTGTATGCTTGAAGAAAAAAAAAAGAAATAATAAACGACGCCGTGACGAGAGTCGCGTGAAATATTTAACCGATTTGCAGGGCAATATGTTAAGTCCTTGGTAACAGGACTGCGAACATTACGAATTATGGCTGATATAGTTGGCAATATATTTACATATATACATATATATGCTGTATATTTATACTTACGACCCATTAATTGCCAAATATCGAGTATGAGTTTATATATATGCATACATCAAAACTTATATACTTAATAACTCAACCTATAACTCTCTTGACCAAACATATTTCGTACCGATAATTTTTTTAATGAGAATTCTGGATGCTTGCTTTTTTAATTTATATATATAAAATTCATATTAAATTTTGAACTATCGCAATCCTCTGTACACCACATTCAATGTGCAAACGATACTTATCTGTTAAACGGCACTTACGCAGAGGGTCATCATGTCAATCCGCGTAAATGGAGAAAGAGAAAAAGGATCGCCAGTTCAAATTATCGATTCTAATCTCTAGTCCAAGGACCAATCAACCGCGATATGATAAGTCAGCGATTACAAACGATCGACTCCATTTCGAGCGGTAGATATTATCTGCGCGATACATTCACCTGCCATGAGTACCATATACGATTCACGATTGATCGACGGTTAGTGGGGTGTTTGTATGTATGTGTGTGTGTGTGTGTGTGTATATGTGCACGACAGATGGAGAGATGAATGAGGAGGCAGAAGAGAAGAGAAACGGGCGTGCTACCGAATGACGATCCGTGATTGGAACTGTCTGTCAGGGAAACGATACGATTGGACGTCATATTTGATGGGTAGAACTGCAGATGGGCTTTTCGTATATTATTTCGATGAAATATAGCGAAGCGAATGATACGACGAAAATAGAAACGTGGGGATCCACAATTCGGTAATTCGAAATAAAAAGTCTATTACGTCAAATCGGACATTTCTCGTTACGATGAAGGAAATAGTTTATGAAACAAATTTTAGATAAAATAATCATTAATATAATAGTAAATAAAAAATGATTCAAATATATCAATTTTTTGATACTTTACAGAAAAAAATTATCTTCATTTATTATATTATATGTAACATAAAAAATATATGTGAGGGAATTACAAGAGCGTGTGCCTTCGCGAATTTATTTATTTTTTCAAACTTACAATTATTCATACACTTGTTTCGATAAAATCGATTGATTCGTACGATATAAAAGTCGCATCGTAACGAAGGGAGAGAGGTTTGCGCCGAAATTAAATCATCGGTAGTGAGAGGAAGAGACAGGAAGGAGCAAGAAAGGAGGCGCAGAGAAAGGGAAAGAGAAAGAAAGCAGGGAGATATCCGGCTGATGAACCGGCTATGAAACCGAGGCGTACGAGGTGTCTATTCCTCCAAAGTATGGAAGGGTATATACACGGATTAATGGCGGTGTATCATGCAAGGCTATTACGTTCCCTTTCCTGCGTTTTAGGTGCGCGAGCGAGCGAGATAGGGTAAGAGGGAGAAGGGGACAAACAGAGAGACGAAGAACGAAAGGGTTAAGGCCCAGTGCGTTACACTTACACTTGTACGAAGTGTGCATACGTATATCGGTACACGCGATTTCGTGCACACACTCGGGACATGCGCGATCGAACGATCCTGCCCGGCATCTATAACGCCGGGTTATTAATTGTCGGCTCGTTAATTGCGTTACGTACGCCCTTGTACGCCTGGAGCTAATTCCCGAACGGGCCTCCGACAATCTGCGACACGCGCCTCTCGGACCGCCCTCGAATCGCGAAACGTCAAAGTGACGTGGATCCACGTTGATATGATGTTACGATGAGGAAACTGAGAAAATTTAACTTAAATAGTCATTTTTTGTTAATTATAAGTACATTTAAATTATAATATTAAATTATACTACATTATAAAATTATAAATATAAAAGTTAAAAATATTTATATCTATATACACTCACTCCAAAAAAAGCGGTACACTTAAAATTTGGAAAAAAGTCAAACTTTAAATAACGATAACTTTGTAAACAATAAAGATAGAAAGGTTTCTAAAAAATGGAAATAAAGCTCGAAAGCTCTACTTTAAGAATCTATTCATTTCAATGTTGCGAGATAAATTTATTAAAAATGGCGGATGAAAAAACGAAAACATACAAAATTGAAAAAAATGATTCGAGTTTGCTAAAGCACATGGCATGAGTTAAATGTCGTAACTCAATGGGATAAAAAGCATATGATAGTACAAAGTTTCCCCTTTAAAATGCTTTTTTATTCATCTCGATACGATGATTTTTCACAAAGTTATTCGCACTTAAATAAAAAAGCAGCTTTTTGCTTTAAGTGCGAATAACTTTGTAAAAAATCATCGTATCGAGATGAATAAAAAAGCATTTTAAAGGGGAAACTCTGTACTATCATATGCTTTTTATCCCATTGAGTTGCGACATTTAACTCATGCCATGTGCTTTAGCAAACTCGAATCATTTTTTTCAATTTTGTATGTTTTCGTTTTTTCGTCCGCCATTTTTAATAAATTTATCTCGCAACATTGAAACAAATAGATTCTTAAAGTAGAGATTCCAAGCTTTATTTTAAGTTTTTAAAATCCTTTCTATCTTTAATATTTACGAAGTTATCGTTATTTGATTTTTTTATTTTTTCCAGATTTTCAGTGTATTTTTACGACGTAAAAAATCGTAGAATAAATTGATCAAAAATGCAAAGCGGTACACTGAAAATTTGGAAAAAATAAAAATTTCAAATAACGATAACTTTGTAAATAATAAAGATAGAAAGGATTTTAAAAAATTAAAATAAAGCTTGGAATCTCTACTTTAAGAATCTATTTGTTTTAATGTTGCGAGATAAATTTATTAAAAATGGCGGATAAAAAAACGAAAACATACAAAATTGAAAAAAATGATTCAAGTTTGCTAAAGCACATGGCATGAGTTAAATGTCGCAACTTAATGGGATAAAAAGCATATGATAGTACAAAGTTTCCCCTTTAAAATGCTTTTTTATTCATCTCGATACGATGATTTTTCACAAAGTTATTCGCACTTAAAGCAAAAAGCTGCTTTTTTATTTAAGTGCGAATAACTTTGTGAAAAATCATCGTATCGAGATGAATAAAAAAGCATTTTAAAGGGGAAACTCTGTACTATCATATGCTTTTTATCCCATTGAGTTGCAACATTTAACTCATGCCATGTGCTTTAGCAAACTCGAATCATTTTTTTCAATTTTGTATGTTTTCGTTTTTTCGTCCGCCATTTTTAATAAATTTATCTCGCAACATTGAAACAAATAGATTCTTAAAGTAGAGATTCCAAGCTTTATTTTAAGTTTTTAAAATCCTTTCTATCTTTAATATTTACGAAGTTATCGTTATTTGATTTTTTTATTTTTTCCAGATTTTCAGTGTATTTTTACGACGTAAAAAATCGTAGAATAAATTGATCAAAAATGCAAAGCGGTACACTGAAAATTTGGAAAAAATAAAAATTTCAAATAACGATAACTTTGTAAATAATAAAGATAGAAAGGATTTTAAAAAATTAAAATAAAGCTTGGAATCTCTACTTTAAGAATCTATTTGTTTTAATGTTGCGAGATAAATTTATTAAAAATGGCGGATAAAAAAACGAAAACATACAAAATTGAAAAAAATGATTCAAGTTTGCTAAAGCACATGGCATGAGTTAAATGTCGCAACTTAATGGGATAAAAAGCATATGATAGTACAAAGTTTCCCCTTTAAAATGCTTTTTTATTCATCTCGATACGATGATTTTTCACAAAGTTATTCGCACTTAAAGCAAAAAGCTGCTTTTTTATTTAAGTGCGAATAACTTTGTGAAAAATCATCGTATCGAGATGAATAAAAAAGCATTTTAAAGGGGAAACTCTGTACTATCATATGCTTTTTATCCCATTGAGTTGCAACATTTAACTCATGCCATGTGCTTTAGCAAACTCGAATCATTTTTTTCAATTTTGTATGTTTTCGTTTTTTCGTCCGCCATTTTTAATAAATTTATCTCGCAACATTGAAACAAATAGATTCTTAAAGTAGAGATTCCAAGCTTTATTTTAAGTTTTTAAAATCCTTTCTATCTTTAATATTTACGAAGTTATCGTTATTTGATTTTTTTATTTTTTCCAGATTTTCAGTGTATTTTTACGACGTAAAAAATCGTAGAATAAATTGATCAAAAATGCAAAGCGGTACACTGAAAATTTGGAAAAAATAAAAATTTCAAATAACGATAACTTTGTAAATAATAAAGATAGAAAGGATTTTAAAAAATTAAAATAAAGCTTGGAATCTCTACTTTAAGAATCTATTTGTTTTAATGTTGCGAGATAAATTTATTAAAAATGGCGGATAAAAAAACGAAAACATACAAAATTGAAAAAAATGATTCAAGTTTGCTAAAGCACATGGCATGAGTTAAATGTCGCAACTTAATGGGATAAAAAGCATATGATAGTACAAAGTTTCCCCTTTAAAATGCTTTTTTATTCATCTCGATACGATGATTTTTCACAAAGTTATTCGCACTTAAAGCAAAAAGCTGCTTTTTTATTTAAGTGCGAATAACTTTGTGAAAAATCATCGTATCGAGATGAATAAAAAAGCATTTTAAAGGGGAAACTCTGTACTATCATATGCTTTTTATCCCATTGAGTTGCAACATTTAACTCATGCCATGTGCTTTAGCAAACTCGAATCATTTTTTTCAATTTTGTATGTTTTC